GTACAATATTTACCTCTAATCAGTTCGGCATATTATCTTCCTCCCATTGTCAGTGTGTATTTACTTTCTACCATAGTCAAAATCTTGGTATGTTATATTTACTCAACCTTTGAATAATTAGAACTTGTAATAATTTTTAGTGATGGGACAGTCCGAATATTATTTGAAGTAAGCTACTAAGAGGCGAGGCGGTTTATTCAACACAGATTAAGAAAGAATTTATATATATAAACTAAAGTCTAAATGAAGAGCTATGTTCTGATTTTTGGAACCACTACATCATGATCTGATTATGGAATTTTATTTAATTTGTTCGTTATCTACATCGAGGTTCAAAAGACAACCCCATTCTAACTATCTCTTCTGATAATAATATCAGCGTTATCAAAATAAGTATGGAATTGGTTTCTTCACTGTTTAATACGCCTTTGTAGCGCCATAGATTATGATGGTGAACAGAAGAGGTCATTCCACATTAATAAACTTTTTTTTTGATTTGATCTGCCGAATTTCAGGATCGATGCGATTCGGTGCAAAGCGGGTTTCAGTGATGCCTTGGTTTGACTTGTGTTTTGTTCATTTACTCACGGGTTGCTTAAATTTGTGCACTGCCTCATTTTATACGCCATTTATTGTATATATTGCCGGAATTAAGCATACGCATTTATTGCTACTGTTATGAAATGTGCTTTGTTGCATTTGTACATATGTGGTCCGGCTTTTGTCAGAGTACGAAGGAATGAGAAACTGCAGTACGTCAAGAAATATCAATTCAGATTTGATGCTCTGCATTTTCTCAAACGGTTGTCGGCAGTGTCCATGGATTATTTATCACAAATAAATAAAAGTAAAAACATGCATTCTGACCATTTCAATGTTCTCATTAGGTAAATAAGAGCTGTAATGTCAGTTATCTGCGAACAACAGTAGTCCAACCATCTTCATCAGTTTCCGTGCGTCTCCTCGACGGCTTATTAGTTTGATCATTTTGAACTTCATATTCAAGTTCACCAGAGCTACTGTATTCTTCATCTGAATTGTCTAATACTATCTGACTTTCTGTCGTAGCAGTTTGTACGGCACTTTCGGACGGTAACTGAGACAGGAAATTCTCAAGCTCTGCTTTCTGACATTTTCTCAGCCACAAGCAACACTTTAGTAAAGATGAAGCAAGCCACTCGATGCTATTATCCTGAAAAAATGCAAACAAATATAACTTCACGTTTTTATTGCTGGTAATAACAAATGCAGCAAAAATCTATTTAAGAACTCCAAAGCAGTGATTTCGAAGTATTTGAAATGGGAATAACGAACCTCTAATATGAGATCAAATTCATTGTCCAAAATATCAGCTATCCATTCGGTCAAGTTATGAACTTGCTGGTTCCGTGAGTTTAATACATGTTCAGCTAAAACCTAAAATAATCTTGCATTGTTTCTGTTAGTGTTGGGCTCAGGCACGGTTTATGTACTCCTAAAAATGCGGGGCAAAGAGCTGCATCGAATTTCATTCCCACAATTACTTACTGTTTAAAGTGGAGAACTTTCTCAAAGCACATCGCTGATTGTTAAATTGAAAGCATTATGTTAATAATAGAACAAAGCCCCACCTTGGCGAACCACTCAGCTTTTTGATAAGTTTCCGGCCCGCCGGATAGCATTCGTACCGCCAACTGGTATCCTGTCCAGGCCTTCAACAGGCGATCCACACAGTACGCCCAGTCCTGCTCCATCTGTTGAATACTGTAAATCGAGTTAGTAGTTATTGACAGCCAATTAATATTCATGCTTTCGAGTTTATTGACTGACTAACCATATAAAGTTTTGTTAAAACAAGCTCAAATGCCCACTCGCTGGAACTAAATTACTGAAAAAAACCTCACACGAGCTGTTCTAATTCGCTTTACCAAACCTCTCTATAAGCCTCATTGATCTTTAATATCGTCCATTCTTTCATCATGTTCCATTTCACGAACTTCCACTAACAGCACTCTCACTGCCACAGGTAGCAAGACTTTATTAAATGCTATACAGCAGTAATGAACAAAAGCTTAAATGAAACTGAGGTTGAGCGTCAAGCAGTCAAGCAAACTCTTCTTCTCCATGAAACTTCAAACTCACAATCGTGATGTTTGGTCCTCACTGACTTTCAGCATAAACGAACATGTATGCAAACGAACGAGGTTTATTCCCTCAATAATAGAAAAGTGTTCAAAAAAAAATGAACGCTTGTAAAACGTACTTGTAGACACATGAAGCAGAATAAATCATTTATATAAAAGATGCTGATAGGTCATTTCATTAAAAATATAATAAATTTCAACAATTATATAACAATTACACAATCATGACCGAATCTGAGCAACAGAAACCTGCCATATACGAATAACGTTATCAGTATATCCAGCATATAGTGTCTGACCATCAGCAGACCAAGCTAACGAAATACACTGTGGAGGCGCAGATTTAGCACCACCCATAACATCAAGTTTCAATTCATCTACAGGTTTCTTGTCTTCCAAATCCCAAATTTTAACCACAGGTCCAACTGCTGCACAAAGCCAATATCGATTGGGTGAGAATGCCAATGCATTGATAACATCGTTTCCGCCCAAAGTATACAAGTGTTTCCCTTCATTCAAATCCCACAACATAGCGTTACCGTCCTGAAAAGTGATGCATAATACAAAGCTGCTAAATATGAAATGATGAAAATGAAAATTATTCGTACATAAATTAATATTTAGCATAGAAAATTCAAACTATCGCTACTCAACTTTTCATACATAAAATCTCTATATGTCTCACCTTTCCGCCCGAAGCACAAAGTGAACCATCCGGCGATACGGTAACGGTGTTGATATATCCCGTGTGTCCGATATGGTTCGTCTTCAGCTTACAGTTAGCAAGATTCCAGACCTTCACAATTTTGTCCCATCCGGCGGAAACGATCACAGGATTTGAACTCGAAGGTGAGAATCGTACATTCGAAACCCAGTCTGTGTGGCAGTCTTCCTTAAAGAATAGCGAT